GGACTGGGGACGGGGTCAGTGAATGGTGTGTGAGTGTATGGTGTGTGAGTGAATGTGTGAGTGTATGGTGTGTGAGTGAGTGAATGGTGTGTGAGTGTATGGTGTGTGAATGTGTGAGTGTATGGTGTGTGAGTGAATGTGTGAGTGTATGGTGTGTGAGTGAGTGAATGGTGTGTGAGTGTATGGTGAGTGAATGTGTGACTGTATGGTGTGTGAGTGAATGTGTGAGTGTATGGTGTGTGAGTGAGTGAATGGTGTGTGAATGGTGTGTGAGTGAGTGACTGGGTGAGTGAGTGACTGGTGAGTGAGTGAATGGTGAGTGAGCCCTGCAATGACCTGGAGTCCCTTGCATGAGTCCTGACCCTGTATGTAAAAAGTGGGTATGGAAAAGCAATGAATGTAAATGATCTGGTTAAATGTTACTCAAGATGCCTCAGCAGTTCTCCTGAGTTACAGGTCATGACCTGCCTCCTGCTGCCTGATGTTGAGTATGACCGTGGCGTCTGCCTTCTCACTGTGCCCCCAGCCCTTCACTTCCTGCTGCATTGGCTCAGCGGGCCACCGGACTGCCATCACCACAGTCACGTCCCCTCCGCTGACCCCCCAGCCGCTCACCCCGACGGAGCTGTCCTTCCCCTCGTACCCGACACCCGTTCTCGTGCGCTCTTATTCCATCCCTGCGACCAGCAGCCGCCGGAGCTCTCCCACCTCCCCCGTATCGCCTGAGCCCTCGGACCCCCCTGTGCAGACATTCCCCGCCGGCCTGCAGGACACCCAGTGGGGCACCCCCACGTCGCTGGACGGCCTTCTGGGGACAGCCTTTGTTTGCCACGAGGCCCTGCAGCCCCCCCAGCTGCTTGCACTGCACAGTGCAGGTAAGCTTCCCCCCCACCCAGTGTGTGCGGTTCATCCCACCCAAACCACCTTTTTTTTGTTTGTTTTAATTTTTTGCTTCTTGTTTCCTCAGGCCCCAACGGCATCCCCCTCTTCAGGCCCGATGGGGAGCTCTCAGACATTACCGGCAAACTGCTGTTGTACTACACTCCACAAGTAGGTGGCGCTGGAAGGCAATTTCTAATTGTAGACTTCTGGATTTCCTCCTTGTCTGTTGTTTTGAAATCAGCAACAGGAATGAATGGATAGTATCGTGTGAGAGCGTGTGAACGCGCCTGAACACATGTGACACGTACAGCGACATCCGTTTGTCTCCCCAGGCCTTTAAGAACCAGATCTGCTTGGACCTGTCGCCGAACCACCAATATGACGGCAGACTGACCGGGCATAGGGTGGTGAACTGGGACATCAAGGCAGGTGTCTGTCTCATGAACAAATGAAAAAATGAACGAATGAAAGAATGACCAAGCAAATGAATGAACAAACGAACGCATGAATGAACAAAAGAACAAACGAACAAATGAATGAATGAACAAATGAGTGAATGAATCGGCTGTGCCCTGTCTCGGGATATAAGCGCGCCTGCATTTGAGAGCGAGCGCTGAGTCCGGCGTCTCCCCCCGGCAGGATGCGGTGAACTCTGTGGGCGGGATGGGGGCTCTGCTCCCACTCCTGGAGCAGGTGAGCATGCCAGAACAGATGAAGGATGCCGACGCTGAGCAGACGTCCGACCTGGTGGGGCCCGAGCTGACGTCATCCCGGGGCCCCGCCGGCATACAGCTGCCCCTGACCAAGGCCTCCGGTCAGTGCGGGTGTCTGTTTTCTGTCGGTGGGGGGGATTGGCATGTTAGCCATGGGTGTCTCACGTGCCTCTCTCTGCAGAGGTGCGTCTAGAGAAGAACGGCGTGGCCGCCTTCCTGCTGATGGTGAAGAAGATGCTGAGGAAGCACCCGGTGAACCAGGAGAGCCTGCTGCAGTGCCAGGGGCCGGCCATCATCGGAGTCATGCTGCAGAAGGTGGGCTGGCACGGCATCTTGGAGTACATCCCCCTGGCCTCTAGGGGCACTGCGTTTCTCGGCATGAATCACCACGTCCCGCTACCTCTGCAGTCAGAGCCCACAACGATCAGGCAGGATTCCGGCCAGTCTGGAGATGACGCATTTAGCAAATGATGCTTTATTCCTCCTTACTCAATGTGCAACCCAAAGTGTCACTCATGGGATGAGAGAACGTGGCCCCAACAGCAAAGCAATGATGCCCAGGGTGAAGAAGGGTGGGGCGCCGCACATGTCTGCAAGCAGGGGGCGGGGCTTCCCATGAGGAAGCCACTGTGAGTGGTCCACCCTGCCAGTGGGGGGGCGTGGCTCGGGGATGTGGGAGCTCTGATTGGGTGCTGCCCTCTCTCCAGGTGCCCAGCTCCATGATGGACATGAGCGTCCTCCTAGCCTGCCAGGCCCTGCTGCAGCAGGTTTCCGAAGAGGGTAACACCTCACTGCTCTCCCAGCTCTACAAGCACCTGCTCTTCGACTTCCGCATTTGGAGTAACGGCCATTTCGCCGTTCGTCTGGGTACGTGCCTGTCGCCGCCCTCCCAACCCCCGAAACGGAGCAGCGGCCCTTGAACGCCAGCGAACCTCCTTCCAGTACATGCTGTAACATGTGCATGTTATTCCCAGGTGTTTTGGCCCATGTCCAGTTAATGACATGCTTTGATGTAAATGGAATTCCCATAATTCTGAGGTCCCAGTCTTGATGAGTCTGTTTTGGATTCTGCTGGTTGGCTGCATGTCCTGTTTACCAAAGTGACATTGTCACATAGGAAGGCCTTGCAGGAAATGGTCATTGCGTCATCTTTATGCTCCCCCCCCGCTCTTCCTTTTGCTCCCCTTGCAGGTCACCTGCAGAACCTGTCGCCAGTGTTATCTGAGAGCAAGCAGCGCATCCGGCGGAAGTATGGAGTGCAGTTCCTCTTGGACTCCATCAGAACTCACTACAGGTGACCTGGCATAGGAGTGGAATAGGAACATAGGAGTTGGAATAGAATAGGAATGCTGAATACTTGTGCTGGGTAGCCTGTCTATTAACCCACGTTTGTTTAGTTATCATTTTTGCTGCCGTTTTCGAGTAATGGGACTGCAACCCTCAGGCTTTTTGGGGCATTTTAAGGTTGTTCCTCCTTAAAGGGCCATGGCGTGATTTTGAGGTCCCCTCCCCCCCCCACATGTCTCACCACCACAGCCTGGAGAGAGACAGCAGTCCCCTTTCGGACCAGATGCAGATGGTGCAGACTACCGTCTTCCAGGTGGTGCAGGACCTGCTGAAGTCCCCGCTCCTGGAAGAGATGTACAGCCTGCTAGCCTTCTCCATCACCACAGGGGAGGAGTTCCAGGTGCGAATCCCTTAGGAGCGCCCTCTACAGGCAGACTCTGCCTCTGTCTATCAGATGCGGTGGATTCACAGTCTTCCACTCTGTTCTTTCCAGGTTGTCCGGGCTCTGAACATCCTGCTGCACCTCCTCCAGAACAGCCCGTCCCGGGACTCGGTTCTGGCCCTGCTGCTGGACTGGGGTGTGGAGCAGCTCTACTGCCTTCTCTTCAAGCCCGGCCTCAGGGACGAGGCCCGGGAGACGGTGTTCCAGGTGCGTCCTAGACCCCCCTGCCCCCCTAGGGCTGTCATGTAGAGAGTCACTAATGTCACCTCCCCCCCACTCTGCGACAGGTGCTGAGTCGAGTCCTGAAGAGCGAGCGCGCCTCTGAGCGCAGCAAGCAGCGTGTTAAGCTGAAGGAGTCCGGTTACCTCGGCCTGGTCTGCCTTCTGGAGGATGTCCCAGTTTCCATGGCGACCATCCGCTTCCTGTCTGAACAGGTGTTTTCTACAGGTAATCCCCTAGGGATAGAGGGCGGCAGACGCAAAGAACGATGTGAGCGGGGGCGGCGCTTTTTGTTTTCATGCACGTGGGAGCTTCCGAGTGCGAGGGCGGGGCGTTACTGAGGAAGGACACAGAAAAAATGTAAACGAAAAAAAAAAAAAAAAAAAACTTTCTTAGTGGACTGCTTTTTTCCTTCAAAGTACCAAAAGTTCATCAGTTCCATTAGTGTTAAAGCCATTATGAAGTGCCTGCAAAAACAATGGGAACATAATGGGCTGTGTGAATGTCTGTGTGTCATCTTGTGTTTAGACTCCCCGAACTTCCGGGACGTGCTAGCTGTAGTCTACCTGTCCCAACGTGCAGAACTCGCAGTGCGGCTGGAGGTCTCCCGTAAGGTCAGTACCAATAGTAAAATAATGTGCACCTCTGAGATCATCTCATCACTCAGATTAAGCTGCTGCCTTCTATGCACACTCTGTATCCCTCTGAGCTTTGGCTGGTCCTGGGGCCCCTCCCCAGTAACACCCCTCCCCCTTGCCCCTCCCAGCTCTTCCACCTGATCTACTGCAACGAGGACCACGTGCGTCAACTGGCCCGGCAGCCGGGCTGGCAGGACGTGCTCACCAAGCTCTATGTCACGGAGTCCTACAAATTCCAGCCTGCTGGACATTCCGGTTCTGGCGCCGGCTGCCCACTGGACCCCTCACAGGGACTGCTGAAGAGGGACGACAGCATGCCGGAGGAGGCGCGGCCCGAAGTCTTATTCTCCTACGGCTCCCGCGATGATGACGATGAGGTGTCCCTATCATCACCCAGTGGCCGCCAGCTCAAGGGCTTCAGCTTCAAGTCGTTCGACTCTATGGAGCCGAGTAGTCGATCGTCCTCCCTGTCCAACATTGTGGATGTCCCCGCGGGCCGACGTTCTGAGGAGGAGGTTCCCTACAACTCGCTGTCTCCCTTTGGCTCGTCCCCGCCGGACCTGGAGCTGAATGGGACGGCTGGAGTTGCCGGCGGCCATCGGGCCTGTGGGGGCACGCCCGAGACCCCGTCGCCCCTGGAGCACGGCCGCCCCTTCCCAAGCTTCACGGCCCGGAAGAGCTCCAGCATGTCCAACGTGCTGGACGATACCAGCTACAGCACTGAACCTGCGCATGGCGATGACATCTCCAACACATCCAACCCGCAGGTACCGGCAAAAACACTTAACACTATTGTGCTGGGAAACCAGCAGGAAGTGTGTTGAACCATTCAGAGACTGGCCCCATGTGGTGGATCGGTCCTGGTTTCTCCCATCACAACCCACTTTGTGACATGATGCCAGTGTAACTAGTGTTTTGAGTCTCTGTACCATGTAACCCCAAGTGGGCGTTTGCGTCCCGACCGCAGATAGTGACACATCGGCACCCCCGCCCCCCACCCCCCCTCCTTGTGATACAGCAGGCCCCGGAGGAGGAGCTATGCAACGTCCTCACCAACATCGTGTTCTCCGTCATGTGGAGTGGTGCCGAGGGCGGGGAGGATGCCGTGTGGCGCGAGCGAGGGCAGGTCTTCTCCGTGCTCACCAAGCTGGGCTCCGCCTGCCAGTTGGTGCGGCCCCCTGATGATATCAAGCACAGGTAATTGCGGGGGGGGGTCGCTGGTCAGAGCGGCCGGTGTCATGTGGACCGTCTGTGACATTGCTCCTCCATGTAGTATCAGTGCCTGTGAGTGGAATTGCACCCCTGGTGTTTCCCCCAGAGCCTGATTCGTCACCCGAAGTGTTTAGGAAAAGAATATTTAGGAAAAGAGCTGGGGAATGTTTCTCTGGATGTTTCTCTGGATTGGCGTCCTTTCTGGGGTCCCCTGCCTTTAACACAGCCGAAGGGAAAGACGTTTAAATGATGTTAGTGTAAAGCTACGATTGAAAGGCTGCTGGAATGGCTGAGGGGGCGAGAGATGAGGCTTGGGAACCATCCAACTAGATATCAGTAAGTTTTTGGAAAACAGAAGAAATTCTAGTTAGTGTTTATTGTGTTACTCTTAGTTTGCGTATGTTCCGATGTAAAATTGTCTGTTTTTTCTGAGCACTTATACACTGACTACCCAGATAAATAACTTTAAACATTCCCTCTGACTTCAGTGTTTGTTTACATGAGTTTGACTTAACCCCCCCCCCCCCCCCCCACCCCCAGCCTGCTGGAGATGATGCTGGATTCCTCCCTGTCAGACCTGAGAGAGTCCCAGGGCGCCCCCCAGCAGCACTGTCCCAGCCTGGTGCGTCTCCTGCGGCTGCTGCAGGACTTCCTGTTTGCTGAGGGCACCAACAACCAGGCCCTGTGGAGCGAGAAGGTGACGAGTCGCCCGCCGACACCCCCTCCCCCCTTGCTGTTCGATCTGACATCATTGCTTCCCCCGCTTAACCCCCCCTGCCATCCCCTCTGCAGATTTTTGAGGGCGTGGTGACCCTACTGGACAGACTGCATGCATGGCACAGCAGCACCAGCGCCCCCCACGGACCAGAGCTGCGGGAGATGGCCCAGGTCGGCCTCCGCATCATCACAGGCTACATACAGCAGGACCACGCCCAGGTAACCACGGAGACTGCTGTGCCGACCCCTCATGTTAGGCTGTTGTACTCAGTCACTGAACACTGCCCCCTGCAGGTGTGTGTCATGGCCTGCGTGAAGCTGCACAGCCTCCTGCAGACAGTGCTGGTCCTGAGCTGGGACGAGGTGTGCTTCCTGCTCGGACGGCTGGCCCCCCACCTCTGGCAGGGCCCCCCCCCGCCCGAGGCCTTCCAGCAGCTGGTGCTCATCGTGCGAACGCTGCTGGACCAGCACGCAGACCCGAAGGTTCTCCACGGCCTCCTGCCCCACCTGCCCCCCACCAACGGCACCCTCACTGTCGCCCCGGACCTGCAGGCCTACTGCATGAGCCAGGAGTGGCAGGACTTCTACAGGCAGCATGTGAGTGTACCCCCCCAGCAAGGTCGGGGTTGGGGCGGCTTAGCGATTAGCACTGTAGCTGCGCCCTCCCCATGTCACACGAGTTTGCTCCATGGACCCCAGCTCCCTGCCGCTGGCTGTGTGCTTGTGTGCATGTGCGTCTGCATACTTGCATATGTGTGCATGTCCGTGTGTGCATGTGCGTGTGTGTCTTGTTTTTCTGGAGGCTTGTTCTCCTCCATCTGAATTGGAGTGACAGACCAATGTTCCTGTTAGAGAGACCAGCCCCCCCAGACAGGCATCCCCAGTTTCTCTCACACACTCTGTCCCATTCTCCCATTCACATGTCCTTATTCTCATCCTCCCTCTCTCTCTCCTTCTCTCCCTCCCTCACCTTCTGTCACTCCCTCTCTCTCTCCCTCACCTTCTCTTCCTCCCTCTTCCTCCCCTTGCAGATCGAGCCCACCATGATGCAATATGAGCTGGATACTTTTGGCAAGAGCCACGACCTCATGTCCAACTTCTGGAACTCATGTTTCGATGCCCTGATGAGCACGGCCCAGAAGCCGGATAGGGACCGCACCGACTGCAGGACCAAGTTCCAGGTGTGGCCCCCTCCCTCTCCCCCTCCCGTCGAACTTGCTGGCTGTGGCCCCCCTCCCCTGACCGTCCCCCTGTCCCCACAGGAGGTGGTGGTGAATCCCTACCTGAAGCGCGTGCGGATCGAGAACAGCCGCTACCACGGGGCGATGAAGCAGCTCGCCAACCATCAGGGGTTGGTGTGGCGCCACTGGGTGGCACTTCGGCGGCTGCTGACTAGCGAGAGAGGCGCCTGGGCGCTCAGGTGAGTCCCCACCCTTTTGGCTCCACCCCACCGGTCCGGTTACCGCGGCATCCCTATTTACCTGCCCATTGGCTCGTCTGTTGTCAGGGACCCAACCGAGGTGAAGTGGAAGCTGTCCAGCGCAGAGACGTACTCCAAGATGCGGCTGAAACTCGTCCCCAATTACAATTTCGATCCTCACACTGAGGCCAGCGCCCATCGGGACAACATGGGTATGTCCTGTAGGGGGCGCCAAACCTGTCCGTTTTCAGTGCCATTTATCTCTGCTCGGTGTCCTGATTCTGGCCACCCTCGCAGGTACCGAAAACCCCCGCAGCCTCACAGAGTCCCTCCCCCTGGCCGTTGCTAAGGAGGCTAAGGTCAGCGACATGGAAGATGACCAGCTCGGTGACGAGGACCTCAACTACCTGGACAACCAGTGAGTGTGCGCATATGCCGGTGTGGGGCGTGTAGAGCCTCCTGCAGGGAATGGCGGGTTTTTAGCCTCACTGGTGCCTCTCTATCCCTCCCTCCATCAGTGTGGAGGCAGAGGACGAGAGCCAGAAGGAAAAGCTGATCCTGTCGGAGGAGTGCGAGATGATCACTATCATCGCGGTGGTGCCCGGGCGCCTGGAGGTCACTACACACCACCTCTACTTCTACGACGGCAGCTGCGAGAAGGAGGAGACTGAAGAGGGTCTGTCGACCGTGACTGTCTGCCTTGACCCCACCTTTGCTGGGGGAGTGGTGTTTCACTCAGTGGGTTAGGCCTCTGTAGCCATGATCAGAAAGTTGCTGGTTTGAATCTTTGAGTCCTTGAGCAAGACCCTTAATCCCTCGAAATGCTCTAGGCATGCTGGATGAACGGGCATATTCCAGCGTACCTGAACTCGTACTTGTACAAATGGCGCCGTTTAATTTCATCACCGAGTGACACACATGTTTGAGAGCCCAGAAGGGTGTGGTCAGGGCGCCTAGACCATCCTTGTCTGGAGGGGAGTGGAGTCTGATCCCCTGACTTGTCTTTTAGGCATCGGTTTCGAGTTCAAGCGGCCGCTCTCTCACCTCCGGGAGGTCCACCTGCGGCGCTACAACCTGCGGCGCTCCGCCCTGGAGCTGTTCTTCATCGATCAGGCCCATTACTTCATCAACTTCAGGAAGAAGGTACCTGCCCCCATCTGCTCTAGGGTGACTCTCACGGGCATCCTGCCGTACACCCCCCCCAAACATGATCTAACGCTGTAATCAGTCTTTAAAATGTTAAAGCAGAGTTCTGTTTCTCTGTTTTACCTGTCGCTGTGTTTCTGGATGTTTCTCAGTGATGCCAGCTGACTCTTTACCCCCCACCCAGGTCCGTAACAAAGTCTACTCCCGCATCCTCGGCCTGCGCCCCCCAAACCTCTTCTATTTTGGCTCCCGCTCCCCCCAGGAGCTGCTGAAGGCCTCTGGACTCACACAGGTCCGATTATCCCACTGGTCGCCTCTTTATGATGATCCTACTCCGTGATCCTGGATTCGGACCTGCTCTGCATGTCCGCTCGGTGCCAGCTGATATCTCCTATGTTCTCCCGCAGAAATGGGTGTACAGGGAGATCTCCAACTTTGAGTACCTCATGCAGCTGAACACCATCGCTGGCCGCACCTACAACGACCTCTCGCAGTACCCCGTGGTGAGTCTGCCGGCCAGCATGAGTCTCCCCTGTGTTTGGTAGATAAGCTGTTCTGGAGTGTCGAGCCTGGACTGCTTAAGACTCTGGTTTTCGGAAACTGCCACCGTCTCCCGTTTTCCACCGAAGAAGATTTGGCCTGAAAGACCAGCAATATTTTGCAATTATGTATAACCACAAGTGGCATTAACAGTGAGCCTGTCTGTTGCTGTCTGTGAATCAGAAACCAGTGGCTCGGCCCTCATTATGTGTGTGTGTGTGTGTGTGTGTGTGTGTGTGTGTGTGTGTGTGTGTGTGATATATATTTTTTTCTTTCACCCACTTACTGTGCTCAGTTCAGCTTTTTAATTAATGTATGGTGTTGTGGTGTTCAGTTCCCCTGGGTGCTGTGCGATTACACCTCTCCCACCCTGGACCTGGAGGACCCATCGGTGTTCAGGGACTTATCCAAACCCATCGGCGTGGTGAACCCCCGGCACGCCCAGGCCGTCAGGGAGAAGTGAGTACCGCAGCGGCTCCATGATGCTGCTTCGTAATCAAACGCTGCTCAGGATACAGCTCACAGGGAAGGCGGAAGGTGGTTGTACCCGGAAAGTTTGCAGTTCCGGGAAATGATGATGTTACTAATCGTAATGTGTGTTCGGTGAGCTTTGTGGTACAGAAATGAAACTGTAGAGCAGCTGCCAAGCTGATACTGACTCATGCCCTTGGCTTGGCAGGTATGAGAGCTTTGAGGACCCATCCGGCACCATTGAGAAGTTTCACTATGGCACGCACTACTCCAACGCAGCAGGAGTCATGCACTACATGATTCGCATGGAGCCCTTCACGATGCTGCACATCCAGCTGCAGGACGGCAGGTAATGTGTTCAAGCGTTCTGAGCTTTGACTCTGCTGTGACCCAGTGTCATATGTTCTCGCTGTGACTGCACACCATGCCTATGCTGTGACTCTGCTGTATGTCCCAGCTGTGATTTTGCGTAGTGACTCCGTGCTGTATTTATGAGCTGTGACTGCGCTATATGTGGAGGCTGTTACTCCATGCTGTGACACTGTGCCGTAGTTGTGATGCAGTGCCTTATGGCTGGGTTGTGTCTCTGTGCTACATGTCCAAGCTGTGATACTGTGCTGTATGCCTGTGCTGTGACTCTTGTATATCTGAGCTGTGAGTCAGTGCTGTATGTCCAAGCTGTGATGCTGTGTCGTGATATGGTCCCGAATGCCTGTGCTGACTCTATGCTATATGCCTGTGCTGTGACTCTATGTCGTATGTCTGTGCTGTGTCACTGTGCCATATATCCAAGCTGGTATTTTGTGTCATGGCTTTGTGCTAACCCCGCGCCATCTGCCTGTGCCTTGACTCTGTGTGTTGTGTTTGAGCTGTGCATTCCTGAGCACGGCAGCTCTGTGCTCTGCCTAGGTTCGACTGTGCTGACAGGCAATTCCATTCGGTGGCCGCAACCTGGCAGGCTCGCATGGAAAGCCCTGCTGATGTCAAGGAGCTCATCCCGGAGTTCTTCTACTTCCCAGAATTCCTTCAAAACATTAATGGTGAGCTCCGGAGGATGCTTCCTGCAGCTGGGTCTTGGGAAGCATGATGGGATGGATTATAAAGGATTGTGGGTAGGGTCCTGCAGCTCAGCAGCCCTTTGTGTGTCCTAGAGTTTGACCTGGGAATGCTTCAGATGTCCCAAGATTCAGTGTCCAACGTTGTCTTACCCCGGTGGGCGGAATCCCGGGACGACTTTATCCGGAAGCACCGGAAAGCCCTGGTGAGGGACCCGAACCAAGAGCCCCAGACGGGCCAGTCCGGGTGGGACACCAGTCTCTGACAGAGGGGGGGGGATCATATGCTCTGTGTCCCGCAGGAAAGTGAGCATGTCTCTGCACATCTGCACGAGTGGATCGACTTGATATTCGGTTACAAGCAACGGGGGTCGGATGCCGTAGAAGCCCTCAACGTCTTTTACTACTGCACCTACGAAGGTGACGCTCCACGTAACCCCCCCGGGGACCTCCCCCCGAACTCTGGATTACCGGGGACCTTCCTGTGCTTTAGTCTGATCCTCAGGGCTCCTCGAAGCTGTAACAGGGGCGTCCATTGGCTGCTGTTGGTGTGCTTTGACTGTGCAGTGAGTGAGCTTTGACTGTACAGTGAGTGAGCTTTGACTGTGCAGTGAGTGAGCTTTGACTGTGCAGTGAGTGAGCTTTGACTGTACAGTGAGTGACCTCTCGCCACACAGGTGCTGTGGACCTGGACGCCATTCGTAATGAGACTGAGCGCAAGGCTTACGAGGGCATCATCAGCAACTTCGGGCAGACGCCCTGCCAGCTGCTTAAGGTGTGTCACTGGGGGGCCTGTAGGACAGGGTGTATGTGGATGTGCTGTCACTCACACTGTGTTTGGGCACCCCCTCCCTCAGGAGCCCCACCCTCCCCGCATGTCCGCGGAAAGCGCCTCACGACGTCAGTCCCGCATCGACACCTTGCCTCCCAACCTCTTCGATCACCTCAGCAAGCTGAAGGCCTTTGTGGAGGTGAGAACTCAACCGGCTCCAGTATGAGGAGACCTGCGACTGAGCAGGTTTCTGACTAATGTGGTGACCTGTGCTCTATGGCGCCCCCAGGTGGTGAGTGACGGCGTGCCACTGGTGCAGGCTGTGGTGCCCCGGACTCAAACCCGCTACATCACGCAGGGTACTGATGTGCTGGTAAGAGGCCCTCCAGCCCCTGTCGCCCTGTCACAACACAACAAAGAACTTCAGCAGCGGTTCTGGGGCCTCAGATAAATTTCCCATGTTGTTTTTCTCCATTTCTTAATTGGCTCCATTTTTTAAGTGACCCCTGACCTTTGTGACCTGCTCCCAAGGTTACAGTCAGTGCCAGTGGGCTCCTGGGAACTCACAGCTGGCTGCCGTATGACAAGACCATCGCCAACTATTTCACGTTCACGAAAGACCCCACCATGTCCAACCCTAAGTGAGTGCCCGCCTCCCTATCTGCGTTCCCTGTCCGCGTCCCCCCCTCCTCCCCACACCCAGCGGCATGTGTCACGGTTCTGAATTCCCGGTGCAGGACGCAGCGCATGCTGGGCGGGCCCTTCTCCCCCGGGGTGGACCTGGGTGCACGGGTCCTGGTGGTGTCCAATGATGGACGGCTGCTGTTCAGCGGGGGACACTGGGACTGCAGCCTGCGGGTGACGGCACTGGCCAAGGGCAAGCTAGTGGGCAGGATCTGCCGGCACATCGGTGAGGGCGGGGTGGCACCGTGGGGCTGACAGCACACGGGGGTTTGGCTACATTTTAAGAACTGACTAGCTTAGCGGAGTGTTCTCACAAGGTTTCCAGTGTGTGTAGATGCGCACAGATCCTAACACAGTTCCTTGCGCACCATACACTTGAGGTGCAGCGTTGGGTTCCCTGGGTGCTGATGGAGTGTGGCTCTCTCTCTCTCTCTCTCTCTCTCTCTCTCCCTCCCATTGTCTCTCTCTCTCTCTTTCCCTCTGTCTGCAGACGTGGTCTCGTGTCTGGCTCTGGACCTCTGTGGCATCTACCTCATCTCCGGCTCACGGGACACCACCTGCATGGTGTGGGAGGTCCAGCAGCAGGTCAGATTTCCTGAGAATGTCGACAGCGAGTCACATGGTTCTGAGCACCTCTGGACTCATGGTCCTGTTCCTCCCTCCTGAACATGAGCCTATCGTCCCGTTCCCCTTTCTGACCCCTCTCTGTTCCTCTCCAGGGAGGCTTCTCCAGTGGACTCTCCCCACGGCCGGTGCAGGTCCTCTGTGGGCATGACCAGGAGGTGACCTGCGTGGCCATCAGCACAGAGCTGGACATGGCCGTGTCGGGGTCCAAGGTAAGGGGGGGTGCCGCTGGTCCCACATATTGGGTCTGTGAGCACGTCTCCTCCTCCACCTGTGCATCTGTGTCTGTCTGTCTGTGTCTGTGTCTGTCTGTCTGCATGTCTGTGTGTTTGTGTCTGTATGTCTGTCTGTGTTTGTGTCTGTGTGTCTGTCTGTCTGTGTTTGTGTCTGTCTGTCTGCGTGTCTGTGTGTTTGTGTCTGTGTTTGTGTCTGT